TAGTAAAAACATGGAGAAGCTAGCACAGAGGTAGAGGGAGTAGTTAGAAGATAATTCGATTGAAGTATATGAAGTGGAATTTTATTTATTTTGGATCCAACAGAGAACCAATGTAAAGAATGTCATTTTGTGGGCCCTTTCAATACCGTTTTTAAGAAATGTTGAGAACCAACACAGGAGGCTCACGTTACACCTGTCTGTGTGTTTAATGTGCAGTAAACATGGTAGCACACACAGAGACAGCCTGACTAACCCTTGGAGAAAAAGTTCTGCTGTATTCCTGGAACTCTGAAGTTAGTCTTACAGTGTTAAGCTTTTTTGTGAAAAGAAAGAGTTATTTTACTGCCTTTCTAAAACTACTCAACACTAAGATTTTATTTAGTTATTAATAATTCAGATAACACATGTTCTCCTGAGGGACTTTTTGAGAACCTTCATCTTCCTTGTAGTTGTGAAAAGGTCTCACCAATATTAGTATTAGGAGCACAGTCGTCTGCTTTATAGAATATTTAAGAACTTCTGTCGTATGAATTGGCTTGTAATTTGATTGAATATGTTGAATCAACTTCTTTACTATAATGCTATTTTACATTCTTTCTGGGTAACATTAACAATCATCTCATTTGTCCCAGGATTGGATTTTGTTTAAATGTGAACGAAAATGAAATTAATGCCTTTTAGAGGTTGAAGTAGTGGCTCTCTTGTCATTTCTTATAGTAGCTTTTTTTTTCACATAAACTTACTTTTAGTGGTATGTGGTTTTTGGCTTTCACAGTGAGAATATTTGGTATTCCAGTTAAAGCATAAAATTTAATTATAAATTCTCTGAATCCTAAGAACATATAAAAACTCACCTAAGCTGAGAACACTAATGATGACCATTACTATTTTATGATGGCTTTTTAAACTTGAGTTACAGTGACCAAGTTTCTTAGAATCCTATAATGTCTCTTGCTTTACAATAGAAAGTATGAAAACACATAGGAAGATATTTATGAGTGTTGGTTTAGTTACCAGTATTTCATCCATTTAGATGTTGTGTTGCTGAACGATTCTTACTGTTCTTGGCTGAATTTGCTTTTGAAATTGTGATGTTAGCTGGATGCAGGCATTCATCTGTGCATGCTAGGAGGTGGTCAGAATGTTTCAGGATTCAGTTCACAGCAAACGGCGTGTACAGGTGCTGTCTCTTAAGAATCACTAGAGAAGTTGAGGAACAGTTAACGATGTTTATGAAGAACACAGTGAAAGTCTGTGAGATTTAGAATTCTTAAGGATTGATGTGTATACTTCTCCTGAAACTGCAGTTCATTTAAAAATCTGTACTTAAAGACTGATCAGTCATTATTTATCAGTGTTAGCAAATACCTGTTACGTTAAGAATATATGAAAGAATTCCGTAAATACAGTACCTAGATAGATGTTTATGTAGAGAGCACATGCATATCAGTTACCTAGGTATAAGGTTACCAGAAAAACAAAACAAAATTTTTTTTTGAATTAGTGGTAAATTGGTTCATCTGAGTTCGCAGTTTACTTTCACAGCATAGGTGTGCAGACACTTTATTTAGATGTTTAATTTTTCCCCATCTGTTCTGTCAGGATTATTGATTGAGCAGGAAGCCACTCCAGGGCATACGTAGCCTTCTCCTAATTACTAGCATTGTGTGGCCTGGCTACGAAGCCAGAAAGGTGTCCCTTCATCCTCCCAGACGTCCTGATTGGGAAAAAGATACTGGAGTGAAAATAGTTTTAGAAAATGCCTATTAGTCATATACATGTTTACCTTGGGAACTTTCCTAAGACAGTTTGTTATTTAATGTTAAAGAGTGTATTCATGGTGTTTAAAAAATTTCATTTTGTTTCCTCACCTGGTTGTTTTACAAATGGAAGTGTCCTCATCAGATGTTACCAGAATATTTAATATTAACTCATATCTGCTGTGACCTTCTTAAATCTTAGTTAAAATCATGTCTGAAAGTGAAGCAATTTCTGGGTTGTGGTAGAAAAATTGAAAATAAGCCTATTTCCTAGAACTTGTGCTCTGTTGCGGTTTGATGTAATGTGTTCTCATCACTTTCTAGCATTTACATTTCTTTCAGTGTTTAGTCTAACACAGGAAGTATTTGTGTTAAATGTAGGTACAAAGTACAGGTTATAAAGGACAGTTGAGTAGGAGGAAATGCCAAATATCTACATTCCTATTTACGCATTGATTTTATGGGAAAGAGACACTATAGGTTAATTCATCACGGTAAGTCTTTGACAGGGTTATTTCTCCAGGAGCATGTTTAGATCTGCATCAGTATTCAAATTGCATGATAAACTATGTTGTAAAGGATTGAAGTGTACTTTTACCATTGTACTTCTGCTCTACCTTTTTCCATATCCTGAGATCAGCCCAGATAGTATCTGTGAAATAAATTAGCCTTTTGCTAGGGGAAGAATAATCACCAGAAGTAGCCAAGGAGAATTACAACCCTTAGGTTAAAAAATATAAATTTTCTGTTACTGTAATTTTAGAAAAAAAAAGTGCTTTGAGTAAAGGAGAAAATTTATCTTCCAAAACTCATACCAAGAAAAGGCCATTGGATTTAAAATACTTAATTTGACTTGGAGATTTTCAGAGAATTTCATAGAATTGTGTTTGAAATCATTTAGATTTAAGGACTAAGAAAGGTAAAATATGAATCGTGGGAGCATGTTTCATATTATATACACCCACAGATAAGATATTATAATCATTTTTATTTCTTGTGTGTTTCACCGCACAGCTATTAGGAGATCAGTCAGAATTAAACAAAAATCTTTCTTTTTAATGGATTAGCAAAGCTCTTGAGAGAGGATGACCGAATTGTTAGGGTGCTTTCTCAGCATTGCTTAAGTCTGTGTGTCAGTACATCACATCAGAATTGTTGAGTACAAAGAGGTACAGCAAGCGGTTCTAATTATAGCATTATGTATCTGTATATCAATTGAAGCACGTATGTTCAGGAGCAAACCCACTTATTTTGGGAATCAGTGTTCATTTTACAAAGCTAAATAAAACAGTTTGTTTTATCAAATAGGTTTTTTTAATGCAATTTTATTTTTCAGTTGCTTATTTCTCATCAAAAATGAAAATCCTCCTTTTATGTACTCACTTTCCCTTCTGGCTGCAAACCAGGTACTTAAACAAAAATAAAGGATTGCCAGTTTTGCCAGCTGGGGATGAGAACCCGGCTGGTGAAATGTGGGTTCGGGAGGCAGTTAATCCAGCTTTTATGCTTTTTATGGTTTTACGAAAAAAAAGGTTAAAAACCACATTTGGCTCCTTTTCCTTTATGCCACTGTTTTGTTGGTGTTGTAGGAATGCAGTTAAAGATTGCAGAGGTTTTAATTTTTCTGTTATTAGGCAAAATTTTGTGTCAGTTAGATAAAGGCCCACGGAGCAGAGCATTCCGCTAATTAGCCATGAGATAAACCCTTGAGCCATCCAAAGTCCCAGGTATTCAAAATAATACTTAGAGCATTTCTTGTTTTCTAGTCTCATGTTTTAAGCAAATGGAAATTCAAAATATGTTTTGGCTAATGATGAAAAGTAGAATTTCTTGTTCTTTCAGAAAAAATTTTCCTTAGTTTTGATGTTCATTAAAATTTTCTGGAAAAATAGTAATCGTGAACTTGTGTTCATAACTTATAAATGCACTTTCTCAGCTTCTTTGCCATGAAACAAATATTGTTACAACTGAATTAAAAATCTTCATAGTATTCAGAAAATGCTTACTAAACAGATCTTTAAGTAACATACTATTTTCTTGACATTTTAGTCCTCATCTTTAAGTACTCTGTCTGCCACTGTGCTTTTCATAGTATTTATAGGTAACCGTAATGTAACTGCCAAAAATATCTGCAATTCAACAAAGTATTTGATTCGTACAAACTAAGAAATTTCTTTTTAAGTGGATGAAATTCACGTCCATGGTTTTCTTGATCTGATTTTTCCCTAACTTTAAACAATCCAGTAAAATAAGCTTTAAGGTTACTAAAACAAGCTATCTCCAGTATTGGAAGTTGTCTACAGATGAGGAACGTCCCATGGAATGAGAAGCAAACCTGATAAAGGAAAATCAGATTTTCTTTGGGGCAAATGCTGAGTGGCCATCACCTTCTTTGCATGGGCTGCTCTAATATAATGAAAGTGAGAGCTCAGCAAGCATGAGGCCTTGAGATCAGACCCCAGTACCGAAAAACAAAAAGTTAATATAGTCCGAGTGATACCTGCATGTCACTTCTTACTCATGTCAGAGGTAGATGTGAGGACGCTAACACACAGGTATTGAGTTCATGATTTTTGTAGTATTTAACAAAAATTTTTGTTCTGAGTTATTGAAGCTTTGGATACTAAAATTTCAACCCAAGCAATAAACCTTTATATTCACTTCATCAAGTATTTTCTGAAGGAGTTTAAACATATAGGGGCCCCAAAGTCTTATATTTATTTTAGTGTTCACCATGCCCTGTATTCTTGACTGTCATATTGTTTGTTTATTCCTGCCTTTCACTGCCTGATTTGTGTTACTCCCCCCTGTTTAACTTAGTTTTCCTTAAAGCAAGAATGTGTAATGCACATAGCATAGCTTGAAGTCGTTTAAGTCAACATTAGAAGGATTGAGATAAAAACTAAGCAGACTTAAAAGAAAATAGCCAAGTATGCTAACGGTTTTCATTTGATCCGTGCATACACACTCCATTCACTTCAGATTTTTTTTTGTGTGTGTGTCCTGCTCTTTTTTTTTTTTGTACACTGATGGCTTCTGGATATATGTTGTATATTCCACAATTTGATACAATTAATACCTTTTGTAGGATACATTAAAGGTCAAGATCTCAAAATTAGATTATCTAAGCTTTGAAAGTTGGGATTCATTTTAATGTAAAACTCAACATTTTTTAATGATGCTTTAAAAGTTAATGTGTACTAATTAATCAAGAAATCATTTTTCTGGTTTCACTTTTAGGTGTTAGAAGATAATGACTATGGCCGAGCAGTAGACTGGTGGGGCCTAGGGGTTGTCATGTATGAGATGATGTGTGGGAGGTTACCTTTCTACAACCAGGACCATGAGAAACTGTTTGAACTAATACTTATGGAAGACATTAAATTTCCTCGAACACTCTCTTCAGATGCAAAATCATTGCTTTCAGGGCTCTTGATAAAGGATCCAAATAAACGGTAAGCCTCAAATAATGCTCAGTACTCACTGATGAATATGGTTAAAATTATGATATGGAAATTTATTCAAATGTATAACTCGAAGAAGCAACGTGTTTGGTATAGACATCTTCCCACTGAGATACTGACTTATTTTTAACTGCATAATACAGAACATTTAAAACTTTAATCAATCCTCTCCTAACTTGGGAATTTCATGCAAATTTACCAAATAAGGACTTTGGGCATCTTTGTCCATGATATGACTGAACAGTTTCTTAATTGCCCTGCCTGTCAGCTGAATGGGAGCATCCCTGATCTTACTTTCAGTATTTGTACCTTCAGAGCTCTGCTCATTCACATTACAGGAAGAATATATGTGTTTCTATTCTCTCCTCCCACTTTAATGATGTCAGTATTTCTAAATGCTATTTTACTTGTCCCATCTAGGTATCTGTGCACATCAGAGTTTCTCTGAAGGTTGGTTAACTCTTAAGCATGTACGAGACAGATGACTGCATACTTTGTTGAACCATCCATAACACCTGACATAATGTTTGCTACAGTGTTTTGTTTGTGATTCATGCTTAACATTTTTATTGATGGACTGGTTCAATGAATGATGGAGTCTAAGTTAATCCTAAAATTTGGGCCTTGTCTACTTTAGAAATGGTTTATATTATATACTTCTAGATTTTAAATTTATAAGAATGTGATTTTTACCTTTAGCAGAAATAAGCATACATAATAAAGGATACCATCTTTTTGTTTTATGAGGAACCATTCAAAAATACAAATACATTGTGTCATCCTAGTAACTGAGGCATTGCTTACCTTGTATTTGTTTTAAAGTGATTTTCTTTATTCAGGGCACTTTGTCTTTGTGACTATACTGGTTTTTTCAGTAGTCTTGTAGCATTGCCAGGGTAAATACTATCTGCATTTCCATTTGAGAAGAAAACAAAGGCCCAAATAAGTGAGTTATCCATGGTCTCACGGAAAACTCGTGCAGAGCAAGAATAGAGCACAAGTTTCTTGGTACCTGTTTCTCATTTCTTGCAGATCTTATTTCCAGTCGTCTTTATATCAGCTTCTAAATACAGGTTTTGAAATGTGTTGTAATTAGCATGACTATTTCCCAATTTTTATGTAATAAGCAGCACTTGGTGAAAGATTATCTTTAAACAGAGTATGCCTCCCATTTCAGCTGTTCAATTTTGGGATCTTTTGCTGGTTCGGTTTCAAGGGAAATAAATTTTTACCATATCCTTTCCCAACTCTTCCAGGCAGCTTTGGCCACTCTTTCCTGTGTGACCTTCTCAGTAAGTGGCTGGTGGAACAAAATGGGACTTACAGTTTTTATGTCTGTGTCTCATTATTTGCTTATTGTCAGCTCATCACATCCCACAGGTAGCAGTAGGAGCTACTGAATAAAATGTGAGGTAGAATTCTAGAATATTGGTGGCATAATGTGTACCTTTCCGGCCAGAGGTCAGTGGAGCTCTAAAGAAAAGGTGCAATTTTTTCTAGATGGTCTGAGAGCTTCTTTCATTACAAAGGTGTCAAGCCCCTCCCTTGCAGCTTTAAAGTATTGAGAATGCAAGGATAAACAATCTGACAAGTCTCTACTGTAGATGTTCATATGTTAACGAGGGCCACAAAACATACATTCATGGATGCTTTGGCCAAACTGTATACAAATTGTTCTTGAAGTTATTAGGTCAGTCTAAGGGCTTGAACAATTGAGCTGGTCACGAAGGAGTTGGGGTTTATGGCAAATGAACCTGGCATTTGAGAATTCAGTGATAGTGTGTAGAATATGAGAGATGACATTAGATTATAAGCGTTTTGTACTTCTTAGACAATACTTAAATCTTTATTCAGAAAAGGACAGAAGCTATGACAGCATTTTAAAGCAGGATATGGGCCAGATTATTTATGAAAAGGTAACCCTGTCAACTTTGTGATGGACTGATTAGACAAGTGAGGGGCAGGAAGGCTGAGTACTTGAGAATCTTCTGGAACTAAAGCATGATGGTGCATATATGTAACCCCAGCACTCGGGTGGCTGAGGCAGGATTGTGAGTTTCAGACCAGTCTGGGCAACATAACTAGACTATCTCAAAACAACAAAAAGATGGGGTCCTTTCTGAAGCAGTGGTAAAGAGGAAAGAATGGATCTTTGTGACTGATTAAACAGAAATGGTGAGGAACTAGTTGGGGCCAGTGGTATCCAAAGGTTCCCAGCTAAGCTAGCTAGTTTAGAGAGCAGAGTGAACTTAACTCAGGGAGCACAAACAAAGGAAAAGAAACTTCCTGGGTAGAGTTGATATTAACCAAGGCTGAGTTTTCTATGCAGAACCCAGATAAAAAGGTCAAGGAAGCAGCTGGAAATCAAACAGCCTGCACTTAAAAAGAAACACAGTGACTGAACATATGTATTTGGGAGCCATGGCATGCAAAGAGAAGAGGGCCTTGGGTAGAACCCTGGGTAGCATCAGAGTTCAGAGGCAGAAAAAAGAGCAAGTCAACAAAGGACCTGAAAGTCTAGAAGACACAGTAAAAAATACCAGTATAGCATATCAGTTTATTTTTCATATTCAGCTACTTTAAACACTGCCTGAACTTTTCCAGTATTTTTCTTTTCTCAGTGCTGAGGGTCAAACCATTTCTGGTATTCTTTACTACCCTTCTATCAAAGGGTTAGTCATCATTTTACTTTTGTCTTTTCTCTGACTATCCTATTAGTTGTTCTTTTATTCTCCAGTGCAGGTTATAGGACCTTGTGTAGGAAAATAGGAATTCTGTGATGTTCCTAATGGTAAAGAATCCATTGGTGCTAAGGATTTAGTTTGGCATTCTGATATTGGAGTTTAATATTCTTAGGCATAAATAATTCAGTTCAAAGTATATGTTGATACTGTTTTGAAGTCTTAAATTGTATACTAGGAGAGCCATTGACATGGAAATTTTTGACAGCTTCACACTTTGTGAAGCTTGTGTTAATGAATCTCTCCGCTCTAAAATGGCAATCTAAGATTGTTATCTTAGACTTTGCATAATATTTGTTGTTGATGTTACTGGTTATGTCCAAAGCCAAACTATTGCTAAGGAAGTAATGTTTTACACAAAAATAAATAACTAAAGCTGGATTAAAACTTTTTTATTTTTAAAATGATCATGACTTTCCACTCATGTACCATCTCAAATACATATCCAGTGCAAACACACCTGTAAACAGTAAAACTGTAAACAAAACATAATCTAAGTGTTAGAAAAATACATGGAGTTCTATATGGAGTTCTCTATAGATCTGAGAGTAGGAACCCTCTCTTACCAGAGCCTCTCATCATCAAAGATCAGGTATCAGCTGATTGTTAGGTTTTTCCATCCTGACAATGTGTCAGAGATCTCTAGGTCTTCCTTAATCATGTGTTTCTTACTGCTTATTATAAGCAGAATTCATTACAAGTGTATAATTATTTGTTTTCTGTGATTTATTTGGTTTTTTTCCTACCCAGTGGTGTTTAAGAGCTGGTGTGTACCAGCTTACCAGAGCCAATTGTTAAATTTTGAGGAATTTTGTGAGCTGGATGTTTAATGCAGCAGTCATTATTAAAATTGAATTTCATGAATTTACAAATTAAATAATGAAAGCAAAATACTAAATACTCAAAATTCAGTACTAATAATTTTGTTGCATTTTACTGTTTTCTGTGTTGCTGAGTTTACATCTGTATGGAAATACTGTACAAGGGTTTGCTACTTGACGTAGCTTGAAATTGGCCCCAGTGCAGCTACTCACACCACCAAAATTGGCCAGAAATAGTAAGTCAGGGTTGGTTTATTGTTTTGATTGTTTAGAGTTCAGAAAGTGATGGAGAAAATATTAACAGTGCAGAATGAATTTCAATGTGTCTGCATCTGTTACATTGTGAATGGTATAAAAAGTAGATTAAGCGTTCTTCAACTGTTCCACAGGTACTAACCAGACACCAAAGAAGCCATTCACTTAACTGACAGTGAGTTTGGTGTATGTCTCTTATTTCTGTATTTTGTTACTTTCATCATTGACTTTAATAAAAACAAAAATGTCAAACAGTATTCCTGTTGGAACTAATCAGAAATTGTTTGCATCTGTAGAGTTGGCTTTGGAGTTGAACAAAAATTAATAGTAAAGTTTTCTGTGAGAATCAGTTATCTAATTTATAATAGAAATGTTGTATATGTTACTATTCTTTGTAAATTTTGTGCTTCATGTCCGTCATATCAGTAAAATCTATAATGAACCTGTGGGTGGTGTATATGTGATCTATGGTTTTCCTCGGATAACTGATATTATCAGCATACATAATTTTTGACCATGACAAGTCAAAATAAAGCTTACTATGTTAAATTAAGGATTAGATACCTTTCCTTTACTTTCTCCCTCTTTCTTTTCTTGTTCTTTGCTCATTTTTCCTTTTTACTTCCCCTTTCCATTTGCTTTTCACTTGTTTTTCCTGGTGACTAATGTGTACTGCATTACACTGGGGAAGTCAGAAAGTACTTGAATTTCTTATTGTCAGATATTATTTAAATAAGAATACCTTCAAAGATGGAGGCATAAATTTTGAATTCATTATTGCAAGTTGTGTAGAAAATTACATTGTAATGATATTTCATAGATTAATGATATTGTTTATGTGGAATTCTTTGGAGGTTTGAAAGTAGTCCACAAATTATTTTCTTATCAATTGTTTAATATTTTCACAATTTAAATGAGCAAGGGTCCATTTTGACTTGTTATTCTAAGAATAACGTGGTTGAGAGAATCGATAATTATAATAGCTACCATTTGTTGTACCAGGCACCACCTATGTAGCTTCTAATGCTTGCTTGCAGTAGGCCCCCCGTGGGTATTTTTCCCACTCTGCAGATGGGAAGACCAAGGAGAAGCCACTTAACTGCTGCCGTCTCAGAAGTGGTTGCTGGTTACAGGTCTGTCTCCAAAGCTTCTGTGCTTCACTTACCACATGGTCTTGAAGGTAGTTCTTACTAGTAGTGTGTCAAGAAAGTTACATCTTACAGCAAAATCTTTTTACTTTTATGGCTATTTATTCCAGGAACTACTACACTGAAAATTATATTTTCACAAAACCTTTTTATGTATTGGGTTTATGTAAGTGTTTTATACTCATTTAATTTTATTCTGCCCTCACAGCCTTGGTGGAGGACCAGATGATGCAAAAGAAATCATGAGGCACAGCTTCTTCTCTGGAGTGAATTGGCAAGATGTGTATGACAAAAAGGTAGGGCTCCGTGCGTAGCCTGCTTGCTCTGGTCTGTTGCTGAGGGAAAACTGTCATGATGCCATGATAGCTCACTGTGACATCAGGACTTCTCACCACAAGTTCTATTTATGATTGTCATTCCTCAGGTGCCTCTTGAAATTTTACTCAACATTATTAAGGAATCCATTCTTCTCTTTTTTTCCTCATAATGATTTGTTAGTTTGATGTCATTATTTCTTCAGTTGAAGAAAAAAAGAGCTGAAGTGTTTTGTTTTACTTTAAGGAAATGAACAAAAATTTCAATTTTAAAATTTGCCCTCAATGTCATTAATTTTAAAGTTCATTAGTACAAGGCCTTATTCTAAAAGGAAATTAAAGAATACAGTTTTAATATTATCAAAGTAATGTCTTCATTAGTCTTACTTGGGATTTTCTGCTGTTTGAAACATAACTTTATTGCCCACAAAATGGATGCTACAAATTTCATATCTTTATTTTTATTGAAATTTGCTTTATTACTTATTTTCAATACTGCAATTTTTATTCAAGAGACTGAATATAAATTGTGCATGCTCCATCCTTTTTAACTAATACAAATGTTAGTACAGACATTTTGATATTTTGATTTTCAAATGCTTTATGTAAAACTTTAATGCAAATTTCTATGTAATTCAGTAAATTTCTTAGAATTTTTATCTAATTATTTAGTTAATTCATTCATTTCAATTTATTCCAGCTTTCCTTGTTTTTCTCTGAAACATTTACCAATCAATAACATTTGTATAACGTTTGTGCCCCTTAAATAAAGACAAAGTAACATGAATTATGAGGAAGAGATGGTAACAGATATTTTATTTCTGGATTATGTTGTTGGTAATAGGGAGTGTGGTGATTTTCTGTCCATTTTTTTTGTAACTAAATAGTTATACCATATCAAACACTTCTACTCAAAGCTTTAATTCAATGAAACTCACATATTTAGAGTTTCTACCATGTAAAAGCACTGTGTAAGAATTAGATCTTTCACAGCTCTTATGAGAATCATGTTTAACTTTATATCCACTTTATCTCGTTGATAATGATCTTTATGAGATGCATACATGCATGAGCCACACACTCTTTTCTTCATGTCACTGCACAAGAGAACCTGGAAAAGGTCAAGATCTTGCTCTATGTACCAGAAATAATACTGTCAGATGTTTTATTTGGCACACACAATTCAGTATCATCCCTTCAGAATACCCTACTCAGAGAGGGTCCATTAAGAACAAAAGAGCTGGGGGTGTAGCTCAGTGTTAGAGCATTTGAGGAACATTTGTGAAACTCTGTTTTTCATCTCCAGCTCTGCAAAACAGAAAGGAAAAAAGAAGAAAAAATTTGTTTAAGGTACAGTGTTAATACAGTGATTAGGACACAAATGTGGCACTGCTAACTAACAAAAGCAAAACGTTGACCTTTCCAGTACTTTGAGGAGACTGAGAAAGGCTGCCCTGACTTCATCTGTGTCCAGCTATCCATGTTAAGTGGTAGTTAGCATCACCTGGAGGAAACTCTGGGAATACATCCAGCCTGCCAGTGAAGAGGCAAGGCTGGCCCTGTCTCTCCTCCACTGGACTAGATAGACATGCCAGAGTAAAGGTGATCTGAAGGTCAAGATTACCAGCTACCACCTGTGGGAATGGAATTAGAGAAACCAACACACTGGGCAGGGAGAAGGCGCGTCTGATGCACGTGGAAAAATTACATTTTATAGTTGATAAAATAGGCGCCACTTAACTTGAGCAGAGGTGTAAAGCATCTCACACAAAGAAACACACACAAACATGGAACGATGGACATCATGGACTAACCTTCCTCAGGTGTTGGGATTGCCAGGTGAGGCACTGGTGTTCTCTGCGGTCCTCAAAGTTTGTCTGTAGAAAACTATGAAAATAGGATTTTCTCTGTTTGGGTTTGTGTCATATCACAAATGAACAAGAAATCAATTGTAGGAACCAGTCTGGTACCAGTATCTATTTAATGAATGTAGTTAAAATTCTAGTGTTTTAGATAGTATAAGTTAGGAAATACTTTTTAATACTGAACTTTTTATGAGGCTTTGTCTTTAAAATGTGTGACTTACATTCATAAGTAGACAGTACATCTCTAAAATCAGGTATCTTACAACTTCTTATTTTATGTATTTATTTTCATATATTAATACATGCTTACTAGCTATTTTTCTAAATATTGTGGCAAATCTAGAGATGCAGACATCTGGTGCTGCTGGTATCTTTAGGGGGCTCTGAATGTCTCTCTCAGCAAAGTAAAAGGGCAGCCAGCCATAAGTGCGGGTAGTGGGATGCATCTCAAAAGAGCTTCAAGACCCAAGTGCAAGAGAGCTGGGCACTTGTCCTGGGCTGACTTCTTGCTTCTTGTGTAGAAATGGGCAAGTCCCTGGGTAACACATGTAATCACTTCAGTACCTTCAAGCCTTATGATTTCTGGTCGGATGTTCCATGTGTCAGTGTGTCTAGATAAATTTCTCTGTAGATTTTATGCTCAGTTTGTCAATCTGCTAGGATTTTCCATGCATATCACAGTTTAGGGAGAAACATCTTAACAAAGAGACATTTATTTAGGTGGTCTTTAATGTCTTTTGGTAATGTTTTGTAATTTTATGTTTTGATCTTACACATATTTTGTTAAATTTATCTGTAAGTATTTCGTGTCTTCTGACACAACAGTATTTTAAAATTTCATTTTCACTTTGCTGCCAATATGTAGAATTACAGGATTTTTTTGACCTTATATTCTGTAAGCTTGCAAAACACATTCTTAATTGTAGTTGTCTTTTTGTAGATCACTTATGATTCTCTGCATAGATTATTATAGCTTCTATAAATAGCAGTTTTACTTCATTTTGTATCTGTTTACATTTCCTTTCTTTCTTCTTTTACCTTATTATTGTATTGACTGTGATCTCCACACAGTGTTGGTTAGAAATGGTAAGAGTGGATATCTTCACTTTGTTTCTATCTTAGGGAGAAAAATATCTTTGGTGGTACTAGAGTTTAAACTCAGGGCCTCATGCTTATTAGGCAGGTGCTCTAACACTGGAGCCATGCCTCCAGCACTAAGAAAAATATCTTTTATTATTAAACATGGTGTTAATGAGCACATCTATCAGCCAGATATCAGGTTTCTAAATGTCATTTGCTAGCTATGGAACCAAGGCTCCTTGGAAGAGAGGTGGTTTTAGGGCTGACATCAAGAAAACAAAAGATGAGTCTGGTGTATTTTGCAGTTAGAAAGTATGGAGGAACTTTGTAAAAAAGAAAGATGGATACATGTAACCAGCCCTGAATAGTTCCCCATGACAAAAGCTGGAATAATTTCAGTAACAAAGTAAATAGAATGGTTCAGATTTAAAAAATAATAAATATAGTATTAGATTATGACAAAAATAATAAATACACATCCATGAATCCATACTGTATAAATAAATGGTAGAGAAGGGGCAGGTAAATTCCAGTTAGTAAAGGTTGAAGAGATAAGGAACTAGAAAAACCACCACTAGATTTCCACAGTAAAGATTGCCACATGGAAGCTCTGCCAGTGAGTGCTAAAATTAGTGAGAAAGGTTTAAGAGGAGTCTTGCATAGTTTCAAAGTATCTCCCCCCAAATACTATTTAGAAAGGTAAAAAGAACTTTACAGAAGAAAAACTTGACAGACATTGTCTTAACCAAGTGATCAAGATTGACATCACCAGTAGTAACGGCATGTCGATACCATGTAGCCCATCAGAGATCCCTGAGAAGCTGGACTCTTCCCCAAGATACATAAACTCATGCAGCCCTGAGAACACACCCAGACACCTGGCCAGATAACTTCAAAAGTGTCATTTCTGGCAGGCCAAACAGTGGTGGAATTGCCACAGATTGGAGGAGAGGACTGTGATATGACTAAATGTGAGGTGGGATTTTAGGTTGAACCCTAGGATAGAAAGGGGCATCAGGGAGGAAAGTGGTGAGAGCTCCATGAAGTGGCAGTTTAGCTAATAGCATTGTACTGATGCTGATGTCTTCATTTTGCTAATTCTACTATACATATAAGATGTGTATGGTTACTGCCTGACATTTTGTACATTTTGTCTAGGTCTAAAATTATTTTAATACAATGTTATAAAATGTGTTAATGTAATACCTGAAGAAGTTTTATTTCTAGTTTCCTGAGAGTTCTTATCATGAATAAGTGTTGATTTTGTTTTCTTTGAAATGGTGTCTTGTCCAAGCTAGTCTCAAACTTCTGGGGTTAAGTGATCTCGCCTCAGCTTCCCAAATAGTGGGGCTTACAGGCATGTACCACTATGCCCATTTCAGGATGTTGGCTTAATAAAAGCTTTCTCTCCTTGGTTTAATCTCCAGCACCCCCAAAAAATATGAAAATATTTTCTGCATTTATTGAAATGATCTTGTGACTTTTCTCTTTTATATCCTATTAAAATGGTGATCTGAAAGGAGGTGAACATCAGGAAGATTATGGCTCAAGTCCAGCTGTAGCAAAAAGTTAGCAAGAGCCTGTCTCAACAGACAGGCCAGGTATAGTGGGACATACCTGTAGTCCTGGCTATATGGAGGGCTTAGGTAAGAGGATCCTGATCTGAGGATTCCTCCAAGCCAAAAGCATGTGTTCTATCAGAAAAACTAAAGGAATAAAAAGGGCTAGGGCATGGCTCAAGTAGGTAGACTGCCTGCCTAGCAGCACAAGGCCCTGAGTTCAAACTCTACTACTGCCAAAAATAACCAAAAATGGTGAATTGACAGTGATCAGTTTTCCAACATCAGTTGAACTGTTTATTCCTGAGGAGAGCTCTACCTTTCATGATGTGTTCTCCTTGCGATATGTGCTGCACATTGCTAGATTTGGGGCAATTTGTGTATTAAGGACTTGGGCATCCTTGAGTTGTGATACTGGCGTATCGTCTTTTTCTAAAATATCTTGCTATGATTTTCAGTTCAGAATCAAATTTTCTTT